TTTGGACAATAAATTCTAAGCAAGAATTCAATTATTTTCATAAATAATAAAACTTATCGAAGAATTTCAATTACATGTTTTTTATATTATTTTAAATTAATTAATCGAAAAATTCAATTATTTTTACAAATAAGGTTTTCCACTGGAATTCAATATTATTTAAAATAAAATGTTCATAATATTTATTATATTGCGAAAAAATTAATTATTTAAAACAATATTTATAAAATTCTTATGAAGAATTCAATTATTTTCAAAAATAATCAAATTTTTCCACAGAAATTCAATTCTTTTTAAACATTTTAATACAATTTTTTGCAATAATTCAATTATTTTCATAAATAATAAAATTCTTCTCAGGAATTAAATTATTTTTGAAAATTTTAATAAAATTATTAGCAACTATTCAATTATCTTCATAAATATTCAAATTTATCGCAGGATTTCAATTATTTTTATTACAATTTTACAAGACTTGCTCAAAAAATATAATTATTCTTAAAAATTTAATTTCATTCCTCGAAAAAATCAATTATTTAATAAAATGCTTTTTTAAAAATTTTTTTAAAAAATTCAATTATTTACAAAAATATTAGAATTTTTCACAGGAATTCAATTATTTTTAAATATTTTAATAAAATTTTTCGATGGAAGTGAATTATTTTAAATACAATTTTTATTAAATTTTTTTGAAATAATTTAATTATTCTTTTAGATTTTAATAAAATTCTTCCCAAGAATTCAATTATTTTCATAAATAATTATTTAAAAGAATTCAATTATTAAAGATAAATAACAAAATTATTTCCGAAAATTCAATTATTTTGAGGCATTTTAATAAAATTCTTTGCAAAATTCAATAAATTTCTTCTTGGGAATTCAATTATTTTCAAAAGCTCTAAAAAAATCGTTCGCAAGAATTCAAGTATTCTCAAAAATTTTAATTGAGTTCTTTGTAAAATTTAATTATTTTTAAAAACTTTTCGGAATTTAATGATTTTCAATATCTACTATTTTCATAAAATTTCCAAATAGAATTCAATTATTTAAAAAAATTTTGTTCGAAATCTTTGTAAGATTTCAATTATTTTCATGAATAATACAAATTTCTTAGGAATTCAATTATTTAAATTAGAATTTGCATAAAATTAGTCGAAAGAAATAAACTATTTAAAAAATTGTATAAAATTATTCGCAAGAATGAAATTATTTTTATAAATATTTAAATTCTTTCATGAATAATAAAATTCTTTTCAGGAATTTAATTTATTAGCAGTAGGATAAGAAAGAACTAAATATTTTTGATGAAAATTAGGAAAAAGTTAGGAAAATAAAAAATATGGAATGGGATTTTTGTCAGTTTTGTGAAGTGTACCTAAAACGAGTTTTCTTGGTCGTCAAGTTTAATATTTCGAAAGCTACTTTTTTTACTCCTTTTTTTTAGTTTGAAAGCTACTTTTTGCTACTTTTTTAAAATTAATTATCGAGTGCGAAGCCTGCAATTCGAGATAAATATTTGTAGAATGTTTTTTTAATTTTAAACTAAAGAAAAAGTAATAATAATAAACTTTTATTCGGCCAAACTGCCCATTTTGATACAAGAACCAAAAAAACCATATACAATATTCACAAAAAGATACAATGAAAAAAAAAAAAAATAAAACAGAGTTCCAACACATTACCCATTCATTCTTACAGTAAGGATATTAATAAGCATCTTTGTAAAATTTTTAATGTCTGACAGTGATTCCGCTGATAAAATTTTCCCCCAAAAGGGGGCCTCACACACACTTGTACAAATTTCGGGATAAAAACTCTTCCTAATATGATTGTATTTAGGACAATCAACAAGCATGTGATGAAAGCTCTCACATTCTTCTTCACACCACATACAATGCTCGAATTTCGGAAGTTCAAACTTTACGCGATTAACTCTAAAAGAAGGACAATGTTTATTAACCAGACGGCATTGAGCATACAATCTTTTCGTTTGAAGTTGAACTCTCTCTCTTAGGTACGGTTGTGTTCGTGGGTACAAGTGAACAAATGGCCATACCTGCAAGCTTCTAGATTTAGTGCGCGACTCTAAGTCTATTGATAGGCAATATCTTCCGTAGGAGAGTCTGATTTGACTTGAGTAGTTTGCAATTGATTCCAATGTGCCCGTATCCCATAACTCTTTTAAGCCTCCCATTTCAAAGTACTTTTTTAATTGACCGAACCAATTATACCTCGACTCAGAAGAATTGGTGCGCGCCAATGCCATCAACCTAGACAAACATTGCTTCGGAAACCGCGTATCACTCATTTTAGAAATTTTTTCTATCCAAGCTAATATTCTGTCCAATAGTTTAAATGACAAGGGCAGCACACCAGTTTCCAGACGGACAGCATAATTAGGTGTGCAACCAGGCAAATGCAACAACTGCTTAAAAAAAGCTAATTGTACTTTCTCTATATCATCAACAAATTTTAACCCCCAAACCTCTATCGCATAAAAGAGAACACTACAAACAAGACTTTCGAACAACCTGCTACAGGTCGGCCATGTATCCACTTTGAGACTATTAATTACACGAAGAGTGGAACCGATCGCCATTTTCGCTGAACTAACAAATTCATTTTTGGCAATTTCAAAAGAACATGAGTTTTTAAAGATTACTCCCAGATATGTATATTGGTCCACTACCTCAATCCTCTGTTTACCAAACTTAAATGAAACAAAATTTTTTACCGAAGCATTCATTCCTTTCCGGAAAATTACAATTTTAGTTTTTTTCGTATTTACTTCCAAATGGTTAATTTCACAGTACTCACACAAAGCTGACAATTTTCTTTCAAGTTCCACAGGGGTATCTGCCAACATGACAATATCGTCTGCGTATGCAAGAAGAAATATCTCAAAAGCGCTATTCACAGAGAGACCTCTACATCCCCTAAAACGTAAAAAATCCTCTAAGTCACTTATAAAATAAGAAAACACATAAGGGCTGAGAACCTCCCCCTGTAAAACGCCCTGAGATACTCTAACAAAATTAGTATTCCCTTTTATTGAACTCACACACGCGTTTGATGTCTCGTAGAAATTCTTGAGTATATTGATAAATTTTGTACTAATTCCCAGAGAATGTAATTTATTCCACAAAATATCGTGTGAAACAGAGGGAAACGCGCTCTTAAAGTCGACAAAGACTGCGTAGACAACTCTCCTAGGATGTCTCAAATGAATTTGCAAAAGCGACATCAAGGTAAATAGGTTGTCCACGCATCCCCTGCCACTCCTAAAGCCCGCTTGAAATTCGGGAATCACTCTGAATTCATTTTCCCAAGATAAAATTCTATTAGCCAAAATTTGTGTAAAAATCTTCGCGATACAATTAACCAAGGTGATTGGTCTATAATTGTCTGTGGATTCGAAATCGCCATTCTTATGTAACATGCACATTTTCAGTTGTCCCCAGGCTCTGGGTACAGTTTCCCTTTCAAGAATTCCATTAAAGAGATCTTCTAGAAAAACTATCCAATTTTCTGGCAAATTTTTAAAAAAACTATAATTTATGTTGTCAAGTCCTGGAGATTTCGATTCCTTACATTTTTTAATACTTCTACAAATTTCTTCATATGATATAACATCGTCTAGGACAGGGTGAAAAATACGAGGGGGTGAAAAGAGTCCAGTAACTTTCATAGGGTAAAGATCTCGTAAATATAAATACCACTCATCCAAACTAATATTATTACCCTGCCGAAATTTGCGCCTGTTTCCATTAATTATGGACCAAAAATCTTTCGAATTTCTAGTCGCAGCAATCCGATCTGTCAAACTATCTATATACTCCTTCCTCTTATCAACCAACATTTTTCTATAAACAGAACGCGTTTCGACATATGTTTTTCGACTAGATACCTCGCAACCTGTACTCTTATAGTCGTGAAAAGATTTACTCAAATTATACTTCGCTGTTCGGCAGTTCCCGTCAAACCACGGTTTATTCCGTGATCTAATACAATCATCGTTCCCGTAATTTTTCCTCATACCCATTCTTGTCGCTACCTTTATGATTGCTGAGACTAGCAGTTCATTTGCTTCATCAATCCCCTCTCCGATCTCGACTCCCACTTCTTCGCGCCATCTCATACACTCTGTAAATTCTATTGCCTTTGAATAATCAAATTTTAATTTCCACGACTGAAAATTATTCTGCTCAGAAATATTTGATAGGGGGGGTATATCAATCGAGATGCAAGCCGGAAGGTGATCGGAACACGTAACAATGTCAAGCACTGTAAAATCCAAAATAAAAGGTAAAATTGATAAAGTACACCAAACCAAATCTATAACACTCGACCCCACACTACCAATGTAAGTGTAATTGGCCGGCGTATCACTCAATGTTCTTCCGTTACAAAGAAAGAATTCCATTTCCTCCAAACATTCTAACAATTGTTTTCCTTTCAGATTATAAATCGTATCTCTTGAGACTCTATCGCAATTTAGAGACTTATTAATTGCAAGTATATTTTTATTAAGAGAATTAAGATTGGCTACCCTACAATTAAAATCGCCTCCGACAATGATAGGGACATTTACATAAGAATCACGAAGTACATTGAGTTTGAGATTAAAATTATTAAGGAAAAAAGAGAAGTCAATCGTAGGCGAGACATAGACTGCCACAACTATAAAGACGAAACCGTTTACCTGAGCCTTGACCACCATGAAATTCGATTCCGTCATAATCAGCTGAGGAGAATAGTATGACTTATCGAGGGCTATTATCAAGCCCCCTCTAGCCCTTCCTCTACTGGCTTCCCTCACCGCTGGTATATTAAAGATGGCCATTGAGTTGGAGAATACATTGAACTTCGGCCCCCACTCCTCTATCCAAGTTTCACATAGACATAGAATATCGTGTCTGTCGAAATGTTGCTTTATATCTTCGATATTAGAGTGTCCGTGCACGTTCCAAAAAATAACCTTCACAGCCGTTGTTTCTCCGTTACTCTTGTGTAGATTTGCGAAATCGATCTACCTTTGAGGAAGTTGGTGTTGCGTTTTCTCTTATTACAAAAGAGTTCATGCAAGCAGCAGCGGAATAGTTCTCTGGGATCTCCTTTTTTGTGCGACGTCCTGGTCCCCTTCTTGGACTGGGTCTAGCAATAGTAAATGGAGAGTTCTCAGCATTTTTTAGGACGGGTGCCGAATTTTTGTTGTTTTCCAAAGTAGCCTCCACTTCCTGTTCGCCAGTACCAGCGCCTTCTACAATTAATTTGCCTCTCTTAATTGTCACCTTCTTGCCCGTTTTCCTGATTGTGTCAGCTTGGAGTATAAGCGATTTTCTCAGCTCTCTTTCTTGTTTAGTTCGGTCGTTAGCGACTGCGAGATCGAGTTTCCTAAACTCTGTGATCTTCATGAAAACATTCTGAACCCATCTAGGAGCTATGAACTTGACGATGACCGGTCTCTTCTCACCAGTCTTTCCCAACCTATAGGTATCCGCTACAGCCAATTCAGGAATACGAATATCCAAGTTCTTGAAAATAGAAAGAACAATTGAGCACAAATCAACACTGTTAACTTCTTTGTCCTCTAGACCAAATATTATTATATTATTTGCTCTGTCTTTACGGTCGAAAAATTCAAGCCTCTTTTCGAATGAATCTGTTTTCTTGGAAAGCATTGAGACATTCGCACAAGATTCCTGGGCAATCACACATGCATCCTGCATCTGTTTTTTCAATTCCTCGTGGGATTTTGTTAGGCCTTGTATACACTCTGTTAATTTACTTATCTGTTCATGTAAAGGGGTCTCCATATTGCTAATAACAAAATCCACTTAAACAGGGAAAAGGGCAGCAATGAAACTCACTTATTTCCTTATATAAAAAATAAAATTCGTGCACAAAACACACACATATATGTATATAAAAACCACCACAGATATTAAACAACACCAACTTTGATTTATACAAAATTCTATCGAAAATGAAACAGTCCGACGGAAATCAACAATAGACAAACAAAAACACGTCTGACTCTGACAAAGGTTCGATTGGAACTCTAAAGAAAAAGTAACTTATGTATCACAGTTTTTTTTAAGATATCAAATTGAGACAAAAAACGAATCAAAATGTTGCTTCGTAACACTTTGATTCGTTTTTTGTCTCAATTTGATATCCTTAGAAAAATTTTGGGGGCAAATTTTTGTTAATTAACTTATGAAAATTGTTTGATAAAAAATAAATAATATTAATTTGATAATCCTTTATTTCAATCGAATAAATTTTTCTCTTAGTTTACTTATTCTCCGACGTCTTCGTCTTGTTTACGAGAGAATTTTCATGCCATCTGGACGGAAACTTTGAGAACTAAATAGGAGCGAAATTCAAATTTAGTAAAAGAATAGAAATAAAAAAATGCAGAATAATAATAATAATAATAAAAATAATAATAGTAATAATAATAATAATAATAATAATAATAATAATAATAATAATAAATAGTAATTTTATTATAAATTTCATCATTGTCAGCATTAATAAACAGCGTTTTGTTTGGAAAAATTTTGATTAGATTAGGAGTTGTTGTATTATGGAGGGAATTTTTTGATAGCTTGGTCATTAAATGAGATCATGAAAGGTCCATAAGGGAGTTTTTATAAAAGATTTGTTGGAGGGTATATATATGTGCAGGAGGAAGGTCCGATCTCATGCCGAGTGGGAGTGGCGTGGGTGTGTCCAACATACTTGCTCACACGATATAGCATAAACGTACCAACATGTAGCACAACTTCTGCTTCTATATACACGCTTGCAGGACAAGAGTTTCAAGAAACCAAAACCAGAACCTCAAACCAGGGTCGCGTGCGCGAAAATACATATGTACGGGGGAGAATCTTTCCTCCATTCAAAAAAAACTCGCCTTCTGTGAATCAAAATAGGAAAAAAATAGTGGGTATAGAAAAAGTCAATTTTTCGAGGTTTTCAATATGTGAAAAGAAGGGATCAAGATATTTTTTACTCTAATTTTATGGTAAAAGTTGAATAGTAGGAATTTTTGCAGTTGGCATTTCTGGTTTATAAATAACAAGTTTTACAATTTCGGTCCTTAGTAAATTTTACTAGCTAATTTAATTTACACGGTAAATAAATTTATTTGACCTTGAAAAAATAGTATTGAAACTTTTACTGTAGTTACATATTATAGAAAAAGCGTTAATTTGTTCAGTAATTTTTATTATTTTAGAAATAAAAATAGGGAAGTAAATTTTATTATAGCTAATTTAGTTTGGAAGGTAATAAAATTTGTTACACATGGAAGAACGAGTAAAGTAACTTTTACTATACTTACGTGTAATGAAAGCAAAACTGTTTAGAAATTTTGATCATTTGTTAGGTAATTCTTATTATTTTAAAAATTAAATTAGCTATATAATAAAATTGACTTACCTATTTTTACTTTTTTCTACAGGAAAATAAATTTATTTGCTAATAAGCAAATAAATTTATTTTCCTGAAAAAAGAGTAAAGTAACTTTTACCATACTCTCATATTATAATGAAAGCCAAAATTGTCAAGGAATTTTGCTCAATTATTTGATAATTTTTACTAAATTAGAAGTAGAAATAAGTAATTACTACATTTAATTAATTATTCATTATCTTATAAATAAATTTTACTATTTTCGAATTTCGAAACAATATAATTTAAGTCAAAATTAATCAAATTTACTTAAAAAATATAGTAATAAAAGTTATCTCAACTGAAAAGAATTTCCAGAGTAAAAACTTAGTGAAATTTACTTTAGAAATAGTAATAATTACTAAAAATGAAAAGAAATTCCTTAGTAACATTTATTTCAAAAATAGTAAAAGTTACCAAAAAGAGAAAAAATTCCTGATAATTTAGATTTTACTTAATTATTTGTGACCCGTGACATAATTTCTTCCTTTTTTTCTTCATTAATGGAACAATATTGAGGAAAAAAGCTAAAAATGACATTTAAATTTACTCATTTGGAGCTGCAATAAAAATGAGCCCAGATTTTTTTCTGTGATAGTGCGCGCGCGCGTTTCATTTATAGTCGAATTTTTATTTAACAGATGATTTTTTCTCAGTTTTATATACTTAACGCGCAGGATTTTTAATTAGCTGAATTTTTATTTAATAGGATTTTTATTTATACAGATTTTTATGTAACTGAATTTTTTTCGTCTTTGATTTATTTAACGAGATTTTTATTTGTTTGAACTTTTTTCACAAAAGCATAATTTTTTATTATTTCGACATTACCTGAGTAAAATTGTTAATTAGCTGAATTTTTATTTTCTGTTTCTTTTACTCGAAGATAATTTTTATTTGTCAAGACTTTTGTTTAATAGAATTTTTATTCAGCCGACTTTTTAATAAACAATTTTTATTATTCTGGACTTAATAGTTAACAATATTTCTCATTTAGCTGAAATTTCTATATTCTGAATTATTATTTATTCATATTTTTATTTTTCCAAATTATTATTTATCGAAATTTTTATCTTCTCGAACTATTTTTCGTCGAAATTATTTTTATCTTTTCGAACTATTTTTTTTATCGAAATAATATTTCTTTTTGAATAATTATTTATTGAAATTTACTGTACCAGTAAAATTTACTTCACAGGTTCAGTAAAATTTACTTCGCAGGTATAGTAAAATTTACTATGCCAGTAAAATTTACTCCTAAAATGGTAAAATTTATCAAAAATAGCAAATATTAGCAAAAATGAACCAGAAAAATTACCAGAAATTTCTGATAGTTTAATTTATACAAATAAAGTTTCACATTTTTTCGTGAGCGAAACAATATTAAAAAACAGCTACTAAAAATCATCTTTACTCATTTTGAACAGCAGTAAAAATTCATTAAAATTTTTCCTGGTAGACGCAAATTCGCAAATCACTAATTCGAGGTTCAGGTGTAGATTTATTTACATACAAAAAGAAACAATTTGCAAAAATTAAACCGAAGTATTTTTTTCGAAACAATTAAGACACTTTAATGGAGCATTTAAATTGCATTAAATCTTGATTTCTGATATTTCCTTGAGAATTTATTCCCTCATCGTACTTGTTCGTTTTTTTTCTTTGTCTTCTTTTTTTTGGATTTATATCTCTTACGTTTTTATATGTATTTTGTTCGAAAGTCGCACGATTTTTTTATTACCGTTTTTTATGGTCGCAATAGCATTTGGGATTTTACAATCAGAAAACTTTGGTGGCCAAAGCGTTAACTCGTTTACAAGTGTTCTTTCACTTTTTTTTCCAACATTATAACACCATAAATGTTTATACTACCTGGTTGAAATCAGATTGGGATCGAGAATTTTTTCTATGTATATAATAAATTCAATTATGTTGCGAGTTCCTTTTTCTTCTTAGTTTTCTAAATATTCGGAAAAGTCGCATGTTTTGGGAAATTTTTAGAGTTAAATGTTGACTTCTTGCTTCGTTGAATGAAAAACAAATATAGAGTTGTATTTTTGTGGTTAAAAATAGGTTTTTTTTTTAATTAAGTTAATTAATATATACAAATTAATATTTTTTTTTTTGTAATAAAATACATAATTAAAAATATTGGCGTTCCATTTGAACGTTTACAGTATACTTTAAGAACAGAGAGAAGTAAAGAAAAAATTGTTTTTTTGAGACAGTTTGCTTATGGTAAATTATTGATAATATTGTAAAAATGTATTCTCACCTTGATTGAGGACAAAGAACCGCACACGTGTCAACGCGTGCCGTAAAAGATAGTGAACAACGACGACTTAAATATTGAAAAAAAGACACTAAATAAGAACTTAAAAATGTCAATTTTTGTGGATCTGTACAATGTATTGAAATTCAAACTAATATTATGTATCGTTAAACTACATTAATTTATATTTATTAATTTTAACATACGTTTCTTATTATAAATGTTTGATAAAGTTAAAATTGTATCAACAAAAAGTGAAACACATAGTGAACAGTCTATTTGTAATAGATAAACAAAAATTTTATCTTAACCCTTTGAATATCTGTTTTGTATAAATACGCCTATTTTGGAAATATGTGGTTTAGATATCAAAAGTTGGTCTATATAATAACAGACAAAATAATTAATAGTTGCAAAAGTTAATTAGTATTAGTTGCAGTGTTTTACATAAAATAAAGTAGGTATAAGGTTTTTCATAGTTAAAAATAATTCAAGTATAGAAAAAATGAATCTGAAAAAATATTACTAGGGCTGCAATTTTGTAATTCGACTCTGACTTTCGATTCGATTTTGACTTTGACATTGACTTTCATTTTCACTCTGACTCAGACTTTGACTCTGAGAATCAAAGTGACAATGAAAGTCAAAGTGAATGTCAATCTTAAATTCAAAATCAAATTACAAAATCTCACCCCAGACTACCAAACATTTAGACTGATTACTAAACTGTTTTAGATTCGATGTTATTTTACAGGAATATTATTTAATAATATTTAATTTTCTGAAATTGGCTTAAAAATTTCATAAATTGTTATTCTTCATACTCTTAAAAATCTGTCAATTGAATTAGTTCTTAAAAATAAATTTAATTTCATAGTAAAAAGTCAGTCTATGATTCAAATTTTAGTAATAAAATTTTATTTTAGTAATAAAACAGTTAATAATAACTAAATTATTAGTTAAATTTACTTTTAGGTTAGATCAAAATGACTGAAATTTTTTGTAATTAATTTAATTAATAAAGTTTGACTACTTTTGTAGTTAGTTATTTGTCATTTTCTAATTTATAATTAATTATTTTTA